AGTATTTTTCTTTCATTCTTTTCAATTCTGGTGTGCTACAATGTGTTTGAACTCTTTCAAAACAATGTCTGCACACAGTTTCGTTTGTGAGTAATTGGATTATTGCTAGTATAGTTGAGTATTTGATCTGTGTGCATTGATTTTCTATATACTTGTGTTTCTAAATTTCCTGTGTTGGTTCTCCTGATTAAGACAACTAAAAATGGGATTTTGTTATCTAATTCTTCTTCTCTTGTGAATTTGATGTCTTCAAATGTGTTGTATGTTAATTTATGGATATATTCTAAATCATTTCTCTTAATTATTACAAATGTATCATCAACGTAACTTAACCAGATTTTCGGTTTAATTATAGGTAGAGCTATTAATTCGAATCTTTGCATAACGGCTTCAGCTATTAATCCTGATATGGGCGATCCCACCTGAGCTACAAATCTTTTCTATTATTTGAAAATGCTGTATTTACTCGATGTATCTGCTTACTCTTAAACTATTGGGGATGCAATATTTTTAGCCGTATAAAGTGAACAGGCATCAACGTAGTAGTACTTAAATCATATATGAAAAGACTTCCATTTCAATGCATACTAAATGTCTCCATTGTTTCAAATATCTGACCCATTTTCATTGGTGAGAATTATGCATCAAGAGATGACTATTCTGGTATACAGTCTCCACTAAACCCTTTGTTATAAAGCATTATTATTATTACCTTGGATCCAGAGTGAAACATACGTCTTCAGCAGGACATCTGCACTTTATCCTGTTAACTGTATTCCTCTTCGGTTGTTTCAACGATTTCCCATGAGCTATCATCTACTCCTCACACGATTTCCGTGTCACTTTCAGACTCATACGCAACTCGTCATTCCCATTCAGGTCCCGATCATGGGCCAACCTGACATGTGATATTATTCAACGGTCTCCCCAATCCATCTCCATTTTCTTCAGAATATTTGTTGAGAACCAGGTTTCTGATTGGGTTGTTTTAAGAGTTCCTCATTCTTTCTGGCTGGAAATTTGATCTTCATCATCGAACCAGCAAAGGTAAGTGTTGGTTAAAGTTTGCAGTCAGTTAGAAATGCTTTACGTGACGTTTTCCTCAGTTCTTTGACCTATATAGGATCAGTGACTGACTTAACATTGATGCTGAAAATCAGTAATTGGTTTCTTATGCTGAGTGCAGAATGATGAATACCTCTCTTGCTTTTTCGATTCTGGTTGTATTTGACGTCTACGTCTGTGCCATGTGGTTTTATTTGAGACGATTCTTCACAGTCAGATTGGTGAAGGCGGTGGTCTCTTTCAAATTTCTTCTATCAACAGTGACTGGTTCTTGAATTGAATTTTCGATTTTTCCCGTCGATTGATTGGACCGAAGTGCTCGGTCTCAGGTTGACATGTCGGCTTCTTGTGCAGATGCTTCGACGATGTCTGGGCATTTAATTAGTATACAATTAGTGGATGGTGGCTAGCAGTGGAATCCAGGATGCGCATTTCGTCCTATTTGGGACTCGTCAGCTGGATGTACCTGCATTTCTCAGTGAGTGATGATGTTCCCACCGAGGCTCGATTCAATAATTAATATGACCCGATGCACAAGAGGTGGCTCTCGTGGCCCAAGTGGTCTAGTGGATAACGCTTTGGCGTTTGAAACTATGGGTACTGGGTTCGAGCCTCAGTGGGAACATCATCACTCACTGAGAAATGCAGGTACATCCAGCTGACGAGTCCCAAATAGGACGAAATGCGCATCCTGGATTCCACTGCTAGCCACCATCCACTAATTGTAGTGACTGGTTCTGTTTTCCTCATCACCTTCATCTTCTCTATGCTCACTTGTATTCCTCTCTTCTCCATATGCCTCTTCCGTCAGTTTTCGCATATGCATCTTTAAGTTTATGTGACATTGGATATAAATTATCCACCAAGTTCAGACCTACTAAAATCTTCATATCGGCCTAATGTATTCCTGTGTTCCTGCTTCGCGCACACGGTGTTCCGCATAATCCAGCCTACTACACTTAGGAATACCATCGATGATATTAAGAAGCCATGTCTTAGTGTTGCATTCATTTCAAAAGCTTTACTGAGTTATCCATTGTGGATTATTTAATACATCCCATTGTTTCATATTTTGCTGAATAATACTGATAAAGGTTTGATGTAATTCTTATTGTTGAAGTCATTTCCAAATTACTTTGCAGTCAATCCTGTTGAAGGTCTTTTCAAAGTGAATGAAGCTGAAATAAAGATTCGACTATCATACTATGCTATGTTCGATGATGATGCGTGTTAAACAGTGTAGAAAACCATATATGTTCGTGGCAGCAGTTAATTCTTCAGATCTCAATCTTACTTTATTTGATCTAAAACCTTGAAGTTATTTGCATTTTTTCCAATCGATTCATCATTCATTTATTTCCCATTAGCAGTCATAATATAATTCAACATTTTAACTCATTACCATAATTTTTATTTACTTAAAAACAACATATTTAGTGAAGAAGCACATTCCATTTTAAATTTTTTATATTCATAGTTAAATGTGTGACGATAGGAATTACAGGCTAAGCGATATTATGTAGACAACTTGGAGAGGTATGTAAAACTGCCAATAATAATATGTTTGATCACGAGTTCAGAAAGTTGGAGAATTATTGAGAAACCTGGGAATACTGGACAGCCCTTTTGTCCTAGTTTCGGACTCCTCATCAGTATACACCCACTAGGGTTTGAACCCAAGACCTTCTGGTTATAAGGCGAGCAAGGTCGTAGACAATTAAGCCACTGAGGTCAGATCCAACGGCACATGAATCCCCAACTTCTGCCAATTCATGACAATATATAGCACAACTTCAAGCCAGTGTGAAAGGCGAGTAATGGTTCTCTTGTCAGACAAACAAACAAATCAATAGGCAGCAAGGTCATATAGACAGGCTGATTAAAATAAGTTGAAAGTTTATTATATGCATGAACTGACTACACCATGATTATTTCCTCAAGTATATCAACTTTAGAAATTTGTCAAGAAATATCTGGCTAGTGTGTGAAAAACGGGTTCCTTTTTACACAGCATTAGCTTATTTATTCAAAGTGCCCCTGCAACCCATTTTTATTCTTGTATTTGTAAAATACATAATCTTTTATGTACTACATCTGTTAATTGTTACTCAATATTTTGTGAATCTTTTAGGTGGTTTCTTTTTAGTCATCACACTTTTGACCAGTTTTGTTGACCGCATTAGCCAATGACTTCAAATACTTCAAGTATGTTGAATTTGATAACGAGACTAAGATAGTTATGAGCTGACAGACTGTTCCTGATCAATAGCTGCCAACCTGATGTGGTGGTTGGACTTGCACATGACAGTGATCCAACGATTGGCACTGGTTAGAAATAATGTTCTTGCAGGTCATATAACACCAGAAAGGTTGTTAGGATTGCGATTAGACTAAAAGCAGTTACCGCTATATTGTAAAATGTTACCACTATTCTGGGTTTTGTGGGTAAAGTTGTGCTGCTGGGGAACGGGAATGTAACAGTAGTAATGACCAGTCTAGCAGCTATGTTGCTTCTTCAATCTGGAGAGGGGAGGAGTAGAAAAGGTTGGCCCCAAAACTTTTACATCCCAACTTATCCTACAGTGGTCTGCAGCCTGCCGTCAGCTTCTAATACGGAACCAATTCTAAAATCCAATTTAAACATGCTATGTGTGACGGAACTCAAGCAGTTTTCGGGCTCCACTATCAAGCAACACTAATTCGCTTTCTGTTTCACGTACCCCAAGAAAAAATCAACTTCAATTACATGGGGAACTAGGAAGCAACAACCACCCACATACTTCCAGAAGCACACGAACTTTCCCTGATCATCAGTCAGTCAGTAACAAACTATCACTGATTTAGTAGGTGATAACTGAAGAATGCAAGCCAGTAGTTTCAGAATTACTAGTCTTACACTGAAACCAGGTGAGCTACGAAATCCAACTGTCATTATTTCACTGCAACCATCACGGGTTAATGTCCAGATATCATATGAATGAATGATAATTACTATCCGTTTCTTTTTTGTCACACAATAGTTATCATTAACGTTAAAGTTATCATCTGTAAGTTTTTTGTCAAACTCAGAAGTTTAATACTATTAAGTAATTGCTTCTTCCTTATCAGTAGTATAGTCAGGCATTGTAAATCAAACCACAGCTTGAAATTACTGAGTAGACTATGAGATATAAATTTAGCCACGGTTATATTGTGGATGCTATTCAAATGTAGATCGTATCATGATTGCATATTAGTCTGTCAGAGGATATGAGCGACTTAACAGTGACATTAGTTATGCAAATATAATTTCAGCCCTTTGAGTACTGACTGACAAATATAGAAAATCAAATTTGAAAGATGAAATGTCTACGGATTATTGGACTGCTTAGCAACAATAACATAAATAGCCTTGTTGACACCTAGATACCCTTGTTCACCAAAAAAATCTATAGTAGCTTAGAAGTAACTGCTATTAAAACTTTTCGAATACGAATTCAACAGAGAAAAGTTATATATATATATATATATATATATATATATATATATATATATATATAACTGTTGCATATTGACGATTTAATAGCCAGAAAGAATTAGCAATAAGAAACTCTCAAAACGAGCCAATCAGGAAGCTACTGCACAAAATATATGCCTATGAAAACAGAGGTAGATCGGAAGCATACTGAGGAGACCATCGAATGATATCGTGCGTCAGGACAGCTTCCGAGTGGAAGCCGAACGGGAAACAACTAGTTGGGCGTGTGTCCGGCATTGATAAGGAGAAGATTATGCGAGGAGGAGATGAGAGACCATAGAAAGCCATGTAGGCAGCTAAAGAGGACTGCGAAGAACAGGGTAAGATGTAGACGTGCTTCTGAAGCCTAATGTTCCACTCAGAACCCAAAAGAACAATTATATATATATATGTATAATGATTTATAGTCCAGCAAACACATTTTCACTCCACAGAATATCAAAGCGTACAACCGGGACCTACTCGATATCAGTAAATAATTACTTAACCATTGTATTTTCCTCAAAACTCACTAAACAAAAATGGAAATTCAAAATTTAGATTTCTACATATTTTAAAATTTATTTGAATAAGAATCCAGATGTGAAAACAATGTGACAACCAAAAATGTATGCAGAAATCAACCACAAAAGAAAGAAGATTGGAATTTGATTCCTTAGAGTTGATTTTTAGGGAGGAACAAGAAAAAGATGAAGAAAAGGAAGAATAGAAATTCATAATAAATTAGCTAACTGAACACATTTTATTGTGTCCAATCACCAGCATTCTCAAAAGAAGGTTTTGAGTTTACAACAGACAAAGGATTACCATCAGATGATACTTGAAATATACGCACAGTATTGGTGAAACCACTTCCAGCTTCCTGTCCAGTAACTACAATGATTTGATCACCATTACCGACAAATTTACGTTTCTTAGCAAAATTTAGTGCTGCATTCAATCTTTCATCCATATCATTAGACCATTCTGACAATTTCTCACCTATGCAATAATAATAATAATAAAATATTAGTAAATCATTCAACAGACACTTGTTCAAAAATGATTAAATACCCACTACAAAAGAAAGATAAGAATGATTTACTGATATATGGTTAGGACTTGGCCACTGTCGTAGAGTATAACTATGCCATTATGGATATTGTTATATTATAATGAAATCATACAGTGTTATACAATAATATTTACTGATAATCACGTTTCGAGAACAAATTACTGCCGCTCATAATCATATCGAGGTACTCAATAGTAGGCGAGTGTGTTTTGATGAAGAGTCTGAAACTAGGACGAAAAAGCTGGCTGTCCAGTACTCCCAGGTTTTCCAGTGGTTCTCTAACTGATGTCAGCTCATGATGAAATCCTCCATGCAATCGTACTGAATAGACTATCTTGCTTCACTCATAGACATGTGTAAAAATTGATTAAACATTCAGAAATAATATTAGTGTTATCAATAAAATACAATAAGATAGGAAATAAGATGATTTTATAATAAAATAAATAAGTGACTTGTTAGAATGTGAAGTGAATACATTTCAACATTATTTATTATCCTCTGATTTGACTACTAGTAATAATATCTTCCATATCTCTGGTATTTGCGTTGAGTAACTTCTATTGCATGTGTTGTATGTAGACTCGATGAACCAGCATTCAGTAATCCACCTTCCTCTCTTCTATCTGTTTCATTTTATCATTTAGGTTTTTTGTTGTACCACTTACTGCTATCGCTAGGCTTGTTAGACACTTAACTAAGCCAGACTTTACAGACAACGGATGAGATGAATTAAAGTCTAGATATCTATTTGAACGCGTTGGCTTATTATAAACGTAAGTGTGCAGTTTACATTCTTTTCTTTTTTTATTTTACAATCTAACATGATAGTTAATTCTCCTTGTTCATTTTTCGATTCAAAGGTGAATTTTATTCCCTTTATTAGTGAGTGTAATCAATTTCTACTCATGTATGTAAATGAAGCAAGGAAATTGTGTGAGTGCTTTAATGTGATTATCAGGAATAATTTGTACTCAAAACGTGGTTATCAGTAAATATTACTGTGTAAAACTGTGTGATTTTATCAAAATAAAATTTTATCCATAAGGGATGATTTCCATATTTGAATATTCTTCTGATAAATAAATGATTTTTCGCCATGAATTAGGTATATCCGTTAACTATGAGGTTTGTTTAGGTGAATTTTCTGAGGATAAGAATATTGTTACAGAAAATGATCATGCGAAACCTGTTCTAATGGCTTGGAAATCATTTCAAGTTTTCCCATCCCTAGTGAATTTTATACCTAAGATTATTTCTTATCAACAGAACCACTTGTTATTGTTATTGGCAGTTTACAGATGAAACCTTTTTGGTATAACTGAGGAACAAGTTGCATTTTTATACACTTGAAAACGATTGGGACCTACCAATACTATTAGGCTTTTTTATCTCCGACACATGAAGTGTGGTTCTAAATAGAAAACCATCACTGGAAAGTCGTATTTAATAACTTATGAGCCACAGATTACACAAAACCTCCCAAATAAAGACTGTTTATATCACAGACACGTTTTTTGATCCATGATGTCTGATTTTAGAAGCATCATCCAGGTTTTAGACTAGTGCCAAACCCACCGAAAGATTTTCGAAGACATAATCACGTTCGCAAACTGTTTTCCCCTGTCACACCTTTCTTAAAATCCTCACTTTCTGGCATTGTCTTGCATTGCGGTGTCCATAACTGTGTTACAGGTAGCTAGTTTAAGGGTAACACACGTATCTTACATTTGTCAGGGATAAGTGTATGATTATTGTTGATGAAATCTCAGCACAGATGAGAAAGACTCGTGTGACAGTTATTAACTTACCTAATTTCTGGAGTAGATGTCATATCTAGCTATCGTGGTTCTGAGATGTAGCTGTTTACTGTGGAAGAAATAAAGGAGCTATGTCTTCGACTACAGGTGTTTGCGTTTCTTCTTCCGTGTTAAGTATTATCATATGGGAGGGGTAGTATTGAAGTTAGGAGTAGAGTGTAAACAGAACTGCTATACTTCTGTGGAAAGTCCTACGTTGAAACTCAGCACTCAGTAGCAACATGGTTCATATACAGAACAGTCGCTCAACGCGAAAATTCTGATACCTTATAGCTCATTATTTTTAGAGTTGGGTCACAGTTCCTCTTACAAGAAAATTAAAACTCCTGCTTGATTTCCAATACACAGACTATTTTCATACATGAAAAAGATATTTACTCATATCATCACCTTTGTAATACCATCGGTTTACTGAGATTCCCAGATGCAACTCATTAAACAAAAATAATAAAAGTATTAACAAAAGCGATGAAAAATGCACTGAATTAGAATCCTTTACAGATGCTTACCTGTGAAAACAAATGGATGTATGCCACGTATGGAATGACATTTTCGTGCTACTTCAGGTCGCCTCATAATTGCAATTACCGGACAAGAAGGATGGAATGAAGCTATTGTCAATGCAGAACTAAAAAAGAAATACATTATAAATAAATAACTTGCTCAGCGTATTAACAGATCATTAGTTTGTTAATGGCTAATCGTGTGTTGGTGGTTCATCGACAGAATACTCACCAACCAAACTGTGGTGATTGACAATTTCTATCTCTGTATTGTTTAAATACTTACTGTTGACTGTTAACATGTTTCTTATATGAATTGCAGAATAATTCCGCTAAATACAAATTCCTGAGTTCTGCTCTCTCTGTGTTTTGGTTGGATTCGTGTAATTCGATCATCTTGAAATACTAATATTACGAATACAATAAATTACTACACAAACATATGTCCTGGAGTTTGACTGCCTGCCAACGCACTCCAAAACCTCGTTTAGCTGGTGATAAGCCAGGAAGTGGGAATAAGTTGAGTGTGAGACTAGCAACGTCACTCCGTAGAAGAAATAATAACTGGTTACACGATTTCATGATCAGGTGAAATCGGTTAGAGAACCGTTGGGAAACAGATGTTTCGTCTACGTCTCGAACTCTTTATCAGTACGCACCCATCGACAAGGTTCGAACCCATGACACTCCGGTTGCGAGATGAGCTTATGGACCACTCAGCTACTGAGACCCGATCCAATGACCCATGAATTCCAATTTCTGCCAATTCACGATATCGTACAACCATTAGCGAATATCATCGGCTAGTATTTGTCCTCACACCTAACCTGAAGTGTCCCAATGGTCACGACTTCTCCCTAGGACCCAGGTGACTACCTACCTGAATAGGGCCAGTCGCTAGTGAGCATCAGATGAAGAGTCCGAAACTAGGATGAAACAACTGTCCAGTACTTCCAGGGTTTCCAATGGTTACCTAACCGACATCAGCTCATGATGAAATCCTCTAACCAATCAAATCCTCGCAAATCAACACTTGAGTACCTAGTTAGTTGGTGTGTCGGAATTATGAACACTGAAACTATTGGCTGTTATGTTAAACAATATGACCTGGGCCTGAGTTCATTACAATCATGGATTAACTCTGCAAAATCAAAAGCAAGAATAATGAGTGAATGGTAAATTATTTACTGATCAGTAGTAAGGAATCCCTCACCATAGTAAATCTACGAAATTTGGTCACGATTATATTCATCAGATAAGGTGTATTTATTAGGACTGGAGAGATTTCGAACTACAATTCTAGGAAGGGTAAGAACAACCAGTTAAAGTTACCAGTGTTTCGAAAAAAATGATGGGGACATCAAACCACATATATGATTACTAGTTCTGTTCATTTGCATCCCCGTTTTCCCTTCCTAATGAATAACAGACAGCACTATTCTAACCTTACTTTATTGAGCCATATTTTAAGTTTTAAAAATGTATATTGTTGTGTTCATTCACTATTCCTGTTTGTTTTTTCTGTTGTTGTTAATTTTGTGTCAACAAACCTGCGTGTGTGCGTGTGACTTTCTGGATTAATATAGGACAATGACACATTCTGCATTACAAACTTACTATTCGTAATTTCTGTTACTCTTTTAGATCCTCAGGTAAGTGACAGAAAATAACCATGGTGAAATTGATTTTCAATCAGTGCGACCAGCAAAAGTCTTTAAAGTTCAATATGTTACACGCTAAAGAGATCGGTATTTTCATAATAAAAATTATAGCTTTCCAGACTTGAAAACTGCACAAGATTAATCTTAAAACAATGCACTGTATATATGAATACTATGCATTGAGTTTCAAAACATTTTAATACAGAAGAACTACGATCTGTTTTTCACACGGACAGATCCCAACCGCGCTTTATAGACCTGAATTTTTACAGTCAGGTAATACTGTTAGTTTTCAAACCTTAGTTATAACTACTTGCCAACTGACCGTGAATCTAAGAGGTTATTGGGTAACATTTACCTGCATGACTCAAATCAACAATCAAAAACTTTATGGATAAGTGCTATGTTTTCATCTGCCCACCCCCAACTCTTTTCAAACCTAATCCTATATCAGCTAAGACTGCTTTTAGAAGAACGCGGATGTGTAAAACATATCTAATGACAGACTAAAATTAACCACGTCAAATAATATCTTCATTTCTTGTTCTGCATCTCACTGTTTTGAAAGGACTACGAAATTAAGTGGAGTAATCTAGGAGTATGTTTGATGCTTCCTTCGCTGACACTGAAATAGATTTCTTCTCTAGAAATACTGCTTGGAAAATAGTATGGTTAAATATGTAGAGTGGTTCTTATAAACTATGCGCCACAACTTCATCGTATGCACTTGTATATGGCCTTGGAAAAGTGTTCTTTCCCAGTACTGTGTGAACAACAAGCAAGATCTGACGGTGTAATGCTGCTTTCCTAGTCCTTGTTTTAAATTATGTGTTCTATGGTCAGGTTATATTACACGTCTACAATAGTCAACAGTGAAAATATGTGTAAGATAATGCACTTACCGTCCAGAGGTAGTAATAACAAAAATAGCAGATGCATTTGATGTACTTGAAGCTTCAACAGCAGCCAGCCCTGCAATATATCCTGCATCTATATACGAAAGTCCTCTTATTTCTCTAGCTGCTTTAAGATCTATCCAAAATTTTTCATGAAAAACAGCAGCTTCTGCTTCTCGACAAGTCTAAAAGGCAATATTTTACAGTAAAAGTTAATTAGAGTAGAAAATTTGTTGTGAATGATGATTATATGAAGGGTGAATTTCAAAGAAGAGTATTTTTGAAGAGCAATGTTTGTGTTCAGCTTTACTTTTCATTACAACAACAATTAAGAGAAAAAGAAAGGTCACTGGGAAGAGAAATGTTGTTTCAGAAAGTAATAAAAGGCGAATATCTGTGAAGATATCTTTAGAAATATTCAGTTTTTGCAGCCAGACAATATATACATATATGTAACGGTACTGTTTATGAATGAATCTCTGGAAGAAAATCAGTAGACGAGGCTGTGAAGTTATACCTATCATGATCGTTAGGACATGTGTTACGTATGCCTAGCCATCGCCTTCCTCGACCGATGAGCAAGGCTATCTGGCATAAGATGGTGGTCAAACCAAAACGTGGCATCAGTCAATGAAATTCACACCAGTTAGTTTAAACCACGTAGGGAGGTGTAGATTTCTTAGTTGGGGTCCTCGAGATGGTTAAAAACAAATGAAGACTGCAGACAATTGGTGATATGGCTCAAACGTTTTCTCAGTGGCAGAGATGCACACACTCCTTGTTACTTATAATATCCAATAAAACTAAATTGTTCTTTCATATTACCATTTTTTGCCTCATATCTCGGTTTATCATCTTTCTTTACTCTCTCCTCTTGCTTTGTATGCTACATGGAGTATGAAAAGACACGGCAAAACACCAAGATTGATCGTTCAAATTACGAAGTATATTTCGGGACCAAATCGGAGTGCGAGGCGATTGCTTAGCTTGCTAGGGATCGTGCATGAGCTAACGAAGGAATATAACACGACTGCGTGACGAATGGCGTGGGTGCTTGACTGTAAGCCTTCAGCTGAACAAATTGACTAAAACAGTGAGTGTCAGCCTCCAGTGTTCGATGATGAATGCTGTGGCCGATAATTCTTGAGAATTACCTACCTCTACTGAAGTCTTCATTTATATATGTGTCGAACCTGAAACCAATTAACTCTTACTGTATATAACTGTTAGTTGCGTGATGGTCAAAAGAGTTGTGGTTATATGCTGTCTGGTCACCAGCTGGCAACCATTACAGATGTCTAATCATAATTGGATGAACTTATTGACTCCCATAATGTGTATGATAGCATCATTAAATGAACTGACACAGTTCTTCAGTGAACTTTATTGCACTGTAATCTGACCATCATATATGGAGACAGACAACCGACAGGAAGCCCTGGACATAAGTTCACGGTGTTTAATACTCATGAGAAAGGCTTATGTGCAACTTTCAGGAAACTTACACTCCCTCTTGTATTACTTGGCATCACAGAACAGTAACTTTACTAATAATCTAACCGAATGTAGGACTGATTGATGGAAAGGTTAATTTTTAATACAATGCTTGATCTGATATTAAGTTCCTACTGATTAGATATGAGATTTTTACATTTTCGGTGAGCTACTTTGTACCGGAAAACTTCGGTGTACATTTTTTAAATAAAATTAACTTAATTATTCAAAGTACACACCACCACTGATCCTTAATTTGAGCCAAAACTGATAACATCGCGTGGTCTCTTGAACCCATATAAAGAAGACTTTTATGAATCAACAAATGGTCATTCAGTCCGTTTTACTGGTAATAATTCAAGTTCAAAACCATCAAAGGTTTTTTTCCTTCACGTTCCCAGTGGAACATAGGGTCTCAAGCTAGTGGCTAGAAGCTTCTGTAGCAGTGTTTAATTTTACAGGATGGGGTTGCCAGCTACATGCCAAATCTTTCCTCTTTACCAGCATTATTTCTGGCTTAGCGAGGTAAAGGAGTGCGTCTGTGGCCGGGGATCGAACCCCGGAACATGTGAATTATTGGCGAGCGTGCTAACCGCCCGTGCCACCGACGCACAAACTGGAAGTTAAATAAGTACATTCAACGACCATTCTTTAGTGAAATAATTATGACCGTTGACTTTGTATAACTAGTGTAAACAAGATGACGCGGGACGGATATTTATTCACCTTCCTCTTGAATGTAGTTTGCTATTACTGTACAGTGAATGTTGTTTATATAAATTCAAACTACATACTACAGTACCATAGTATGTCTGAAACTTTTAAATTGACTCTGGTCTATATGCATAACTCATACAAGTTGCAGTCTGTTGCATGAAAATATGGTCCTTTAATCTATCAATACAGAAAAAAGTAATGTACGGATAATAGTGGGAACATAATGCTTTCTATAATAACCCTTGGATTAATTAATAGATAAAAAGCACAAAGTAACTTATGGAACTCAGCAAGTATAGTTGGGTGTCAGTTTGACACAACTATGTTAACAGCCAAATTACACTTTCTGACTACTTCTGTCCAAATGAATGAAGCGAATTTTGGAGTCATGGACCAACGTTTAAAGATATTGGAAAGAAAACCAGTAGTTCAATGAAGAGTGTGTTTTCAGTGAGTTCTCCGAAAACAGACTCTTGACTGAACTACTGGTCTTCTCTCTATTAAAAACGTTCGAATGGGGATTTTTCATGAGTGGAAAGATAAATCTAGATTTTCTCCTGACCTTGTTTACTAAGTGTAGTTCTTAACTGTAAAGTATGGAAATTTATTGATTGACTCATTCTGTAAGAATAACAAAATGTAGTCAAGATTATGTGCATATATAAATAATTCAATTTAAGAATAATAATAATGACATAAGTGATAACTTAGAATACCTTGTGTAAAACTGTTAATGATTCCTTCGGAAACATTCCCCGTGAAGTTTCTACAGTTAATATAAGTCCATCAGCACCATCCAAAACAGCATTAGCAATATCACTTATCTCTGCTCGAGTGGCTCGCGGTTTAAATCTCATTGATTCAAGTAAATGGGTTATAACAAATACAGGTTTATGGAGTATATTGCAAGCAGCAATTATTTGTTTTTGTATCTGAAAAACCTTTTCATTTGGATAGCATAAACTGAGAGGACCACGCCCAATAATAATACCATCGGAATATAACATTATATCATTCAAACTGAAAATAAAAGATATATTCAGGGAGCTAATTAAAATCGAGATCACACTCACTCGTAATATCATCTTAACATTTTTAAGTATTTAGGTAGGCAAAAAGTGACTTCTTTTTATTCTAAAATCTACTACAGTAATAATTATACAGAGTAGACTTTTTAGTGTTTTTATACATATTAAAACAATTTAGCTGCCTTTATAAATATGTACATGCATAAAATTTAAAATGATAATAATAATATTAATAATGGGACCACTATAAACAGAATGTTGGTGGAAACATAATGAAGTATAAATAGATATCATATATAATACATGTAATAATAATCTTTACTTATGCTTTGCAGTTCATTTACTGATTTAAAAGGTTAATATGTTTTTTTCTGACATCTGACTCTCTCTTTATACAAAACCCGTGCTAAATACGGTGTGGTAGAATATCTATGTTCAGATGTACGAGCATAAATTCTTATGAAGTTTCTTCTGGTTTTACCCGAAGATATACAAGGCAAAAGTTGAGAATAAAAAGGATGTGAAATGTCATAAAAGATAACCTTGGCCAAGTACTTGCAAGAATTGAAATACTTACTGAAAATAATGTAATTTGATGAAGTCAAAGACACTGCTAGCCCTAGTTACAGCCTTCAGCATTCTACCTAGTATATAATCTTTTTTGGGAAATCCAGGGAAGGATGAGGGTGATCAAAAAGGAAGGATGGGGGGAATACATGAATTAATAGATTGCAAGAGAAGATGTCGAGACATTCAGAAAGTCTCATCTTCTCTATGTAGTAAGTCAGACAAAATTTCTCTTAGAAATCAACAGACTCGAAGCAAAATTGATGCCGAGATAAGCAATATTCCATTAACTGTCTTTCACACTGCCGTCAATATTACAGGAATCATGAGAATGAATCAGTTCACGCAAGTCTTTTTCGCACCTGAAACTAAAATCAACAATATGAAATTTAGGTGGATTCAGTTTAAGACTATTTCGGTGAAAACACCTGTTGACTTCAGATCACAATTGACTCATATAAGAACAATGTAATTACAAAACTGCTGGGACAGAAATGGTCAGATCGTCAGCATATTTGATGAAATTAGCCCTGGGAGAATACGAAAGGTCTTTCTAAAAATAATAAAAAAAGGAATGCAGAGAGTATAGCTCCTTGAGGCACACAAGTTTGCATTAGCAAAGAAGGAGGACACTTTCCATAAAAAACAGTATGTTGTTTAATACCAAAAATTAAGAAGACAGCCACCTTATGATCCATGACTCAGTACGTGTTGAAATAAGCTTGCTTAGTAACACTTCCCTAAGAATTGAGTTCAAAGTAGCATTTTAGCCTAAAATGCAGACTTGACCAAACATTTTGCCTTTATCAAGACTTGAAACAATATTGTGGTGGAGCACAACTACGGTATCTAAAGTGTTTCTACTGCGGTGGTAAGCAAACTACTTCGGGCCATTAAAAGATGCCAAAGAAAGCTTAAGAACATGCAAAAGAAGTTTCTGCATAGTTTTCAGAAATGAAAACGTGGTGACGATTCGCCTAAATTTTAAACCTGATTCAGAAGATGATTCTGGTGCAGATACCAGCTTTATTTCCCTACGAAATGAAACATTAAAGATTTGTGTAAGAGGCACACTTTGAAGTAAAATGCTTGGTACACCAACAGTCAAATCTAAGGAAACTTTCATACGGTTTTGAGGGTACAGTTTCAGTATAGTGAATCAGTGCAATCAAAGTGAACCGGAAATGATCTGCCTAGTCAACGCTGACTATACAGTAATGATAAGTAGCACAAAAAAGACTTACTTTTTTATTGATTCTTTAGTCTCTATTTTAGAAAACAGAAGAATGTCCTTCCCTAGAATGTTCTTAGCCTGTGCAACCTGATTCGCATTTGAGGCATAACCAGTGAATACGTAATCAACCTATTCAGACAATTATCAAATATTTAACAGAACAACCTGACATTGAACAGCAAACTCCAGGTCACTTTTATACGTGGTGTCGAATGTCTTTTCATATAGCCTCTCACTTGGTAGCTGAACACGTTTATAGCTCCCAACCTCACCTGCAGTGTAAATATTATAATACTCATGACGTACCTCCTTGTTCAACTAAACAAGTTATGCCGTCTATCTTGATATCTCTAACAATCAAGGATATCATTCCCTCATCGATGTAAATGCGATCACCAATAGCTACGCACTGTATAAGTGTTGGGAAATAATTTGAGCTTATCCAGATGACAGAATTTGATGACTTGTCTTCATATTCGTCAGAAATGCTTAACTGGATTATCTGGCCTGTTTGAACTACAACAAAGTTGTCAACACTCTGCCGAATAAATAAAGAAAATACAGCATACCCCATTTATAAGACCTGTACGCACAGGAGGAGCTGAAAGATCGAGTGCGATCCCAACAGCTGGATTATGGCCGTATGATTTTTCCAACTGACGGACGCGACGTATGACTTCTGCATACTTTTCTTTTGAACCCATACTCAGATTCAAACGGAGGATGTTCATGCCACTTTTTATCATCTGGTCAATTTTCTCATCCGTATCCCACAAATCACCTATTTTTAAACTATGAAAGAAAAGGGAAAATTACCCAGAGTACAAACTAGGTTAGTTTGCCTGACAAAAGATGGAGCATGATCAATATCCAGATTACTAATATGTTCTATCCATGTGTTAGCACGATCTCCATGTTGCTGTTTCTGATACTGTACGAAATATGCGTCGGACTTAGCTCGCGTTTCCATAACACAGTGTTAACAGCGGTAAATTGAAGTGGGTGAAACTTGTTTTTAACCCCGTTACACAACTGTTAAGGTGACCTAGTGGAAAACTAATCTGACAACTGAAACTGGCGCAAAAACCAGGATAGGTCATAGGTCCAATGTCCAATATCCTGATGACGAGCTAGTATAAACCAGTGATTTCTTTGAGCTCGCTTCTTGATTGTGAGGTAGAGGTTCCAGATCTTCGGTGAGCTTCTGCGTAGTAAGTCCCGACACTCGACTGCTTTAGCTCTGGTAGACTCCAGGAGGAGTGGTGCGGGGATTGGTCGAGATGTGGTTTGTAGTATGCAGTATGTTAGGACTGTATTGCTGCCGTGAATGGAGTTTGACCTAACTCCCCTTGGTCATTCGGTGTAGTCATAAAAGCAGAATAGTATAATAATAATAATAGGTTGTAGTGTAGATAATATAGGTTGAGATAAGTGGAATAATAAAGGTGACCTAAGGAAAAGATAGAGTGAGAGAAGGCAGAATAGGTCGTGGGGATTTAGTTAGTACGCTTATTCATTGACAGTTTGGTTTCAAATTTTATGAGGATAAGCCATTGAGACACAAACCTTGCATTTCTGCATGATTGTCTAGCTTCCGCTTAAAAATCTCCAGAGATGGCGCTGTAGTCACGGCCGCCGGTAAAGCGTTCCAGAGACGGCAAACACGAAGCGAAAAGAAATGTGATCGCACTCGAGTCTTTGGTCTCTGGTGTGCTATCCTTAGCGGGTTACCTCGTGGAAGCCTATAATCGCTTAATGGCAGGATGCTTTTATTTGGGTGGGCCTGGTCATTTAGGATCTTGTAGACGGTGATGAGGTCTCCCCTGTGCCTACGGTAACTGAGTGTGAAAAGACCTAATTTCTTTAGTCTTTCCTCATATGATTTGTTGCGGAGGCCGATCACCCATTTTGTCGCTCGTCTCTGGACACTTTCTAGAATGTTAGCATCCCTTTTGAGTAGCGGAGGTGCAATGATATTATGCACCTCAAGGTGTGGCCTCACATATGCCTTGTATAGCCTTAAGAACAGTTCGGGAGTGAGAGCTCCCAGCTGCCTGTGCATAAAGTGTAATGTTGCGTAGGCTTTGGCGACGTCCCTCGAGTAATTTCCACTGGTGTCTAGCTTTTCTGTTAGAATAAGACCTAGATCACGCTCTGATGGAACACAACTCAAGTTCTGGCCACCAAGGGTGTAATTTACACTCTGTGACCTGCCGGAATGAAGCTGCACTACTTTGCACTTCTTTAGATTGAAAGGCATTCCGTTAGCCAAAGCCCAATTTCCCAGAGTTTGCAGGTCAGCCTGCAATCTATCTGAGTCTTCCGATGAGTTTATTGCTCTCCAAATCTTTACGTCGTCAGCGTAAAGAAGCGCAGAGCAGTTTAGTTGGGGGGGCAGGTCATTGATAAAAATCAAAAACATCAACGGCCCTAGGATAGAACCCTGAGGAACCCCTGATGCCGAGGTGTGCCAAGATGATCGGATGCGGTTGACTTTGGTGCAGAATTCTCTCTCGCCTAAGTAATCTGTCAGCCATGCGAGAAGTGCTCCAGAAACTCCCGCCTTGCCTATTTTGTGAAGGAGCAGACCATGGTGAACTGTGTCGAATGCTTTCGCAAAGTCGAGAAAGATCACGTGGGCTGGTACCTTTTTGTCCCAGGATAGTGTCCAATCGTTCCAGGCTAGTAGAAGATTCGTCACGCAGGATCTTCCCCTCCTGAAACCGTGCTGTGCTTCGTGAAGAAGGTTAGTCCCATCGAAGTATTTTCTCATGTGGTCGTCAATGAGACTTTCCAATATCTTCGATACCACTGGAAGTAGAGCAACTGGTCTGTAACTGGTCACATTCTGCCGGTCACCACCCTTGAAGATAGGGGATAGGATTGCACGTTTCCATTCACATGGAAGTTTCCCTACATCAAGGGAGTGTTGGAACAGATCACTTAGGGGTTGACAGAGACTTTCTGAACACTGCTTCAGGACAGATGGTCTGATGCCATCACAACCTGGAGACTTTCCCGAAGCCAACCTTCCCAATTTTGCAAGTACCATAGCCGGGGTAATTTGAAATGTCCCCAGCAGGTTTTCGTGTGTTGGTTCTGCGATGTAATCTGGATGTTCTGTAGGGGTAATATCCTCGTTACTATTTAGTTGCCTGTGAAAGGCTAGGCTGAATGTCTCTGCCATTTCAAGACTAGTAAGAGATTTCCCATCAGAACCCACTAGATTGCATGCTCCCTGGTTGGTCGGTTTTCTTTCGGCCATAAACCTGTATAGGCTTTTGGGGTTCACGAGAAGCTTATTGGCGAGGTCTCCCTGAAATGTCCTTCTATCGCTCCGGACTCGTATGTTACATCGATTCCTGAGTTCAAGGTACACTTCATATTCGGGTTGACTCTTCGATCGTCGCCACGCGAACCAGGCTTTACGCTTTGCCTGCAGAAGGCGTTGTGTCCCCTTTTCAGCCATGATCGTTGCTTCCTAGCTTTTGGTGAGACTAAAGGAACAGTGTCTGAGACCGCCTGGTGAATGATCTCCTTTACCACTCTCCAGTGTTCTTCTACTGTTAGCTCTGTCCATTTTTTAGGCCAGTTTGCTTCAGACAGAAGTCTTCGCATTTTGGTAAAGTTGGCTTTGTTATAACACAGATAGGGCTGTGTATTGTCCCACTGTAAGCGCTCGCGGAGGACTATGTCGAATACTATGACCGCGTGGTCACTACTACCTATGGGAGTCGTGATCTGAACGTTTTCCACTAGTAGCTGGTCACTAGTGAGCACGTAATCCAGTCTAGAAGACTTCCCATCAGGGCCCCATCTAGTATCCATCTTGACATTTTCAGTGAATCCAGCCTTCCTGATGGTATGCAGCAGATTTCGATCAAATCTATCATGGGCTTTTCCCGACACCAAGTTAAGAGATGGGGCATTGAAGTCACCAGCTATGACAATTTGATCATAACCCATGTCTTGAGTCGCTGAAATTGTATTTAGCAGTACCTGGTTATGGTCTGCTCCACATGAAGGTGATCGATAAATGCTGCCCACTAGATATTTGCAGTACCCAACGGTGAAGTGGCACCATATGGAGTCAGGGAGCTCTGTGAGGGGAGGGTCCGTCGCGTGAACACATCTGAGCTGTTTGTCGACGTATATGGCGACTCCACCTCCTTCTTTCAGGTCCCTATCTCGCCTGACTAGGACCATATCATTTATACTGACTTCGCTGTCTGCCACCGTAGGGGTTAGCCAGGTTTCCGTCAGTATTATGATTTTGGAGTTTAGTTGTGATTGTAGGTGTCTAAGTTCAGCTATTTTGCCTCTTAGCCCTCTCACATTACTATACAGGCAACTGGTAGTCAGTCTCACCACTTCCCCGTATTGGGGGGTAGTTGACTTGATATTGGCTATCGGTTGAGGAGTTATCCTACGAACTAGTTGGCCGATTCCCCAGGAACCGGCCTGTTGGCGTTTTTTTCTTCTAGTTCAGTTGGAGCACTCGGATGACACTGGCTATCATCGTCCGTGCTGCACCGCTGTAGTGTGACTAGGGGTTGAGGATTTTCTTTTACTACGCTTTGTTCTCTCCTTTGAGTGCGAGGCCGGCTCTCGCAGCAGCGAATGTGTTTGCTGACCTTGTCCTTGGTCTCGTACCATCTATGGAGAGCGGTATTCAACTGGTCTTGGGAGCTGAACTTGACAGCTAACAGACGTGGCGAGTTAATTGACATAAGATGAGTGGGTCGAGGCAGTCTATAAATAGAGACAGCCCCTGAACTTCCCAGGGCCATCTGGGATGCTAACCATCTCCATTGTTGTACATCATGACAATGCTTTTCGCAGGCGTTCCCAGTTACCAGTTCGGGAATGCCATGCACAACCATGGAGGCAGAAGGAATGAGCTCTGGCGACTCCCTCGCCATTTGTCTTTCCTTCCACGGCCTGTCTGGCTTAACACGTATGTTACAGGCCCTCCCTATAGAAAGGACTTGAGAAGCCAGTAACACTTTTTCAACATCCTCGGTAGAGCTCAATGTTACCCTCAGTGGGGATGGTTTGCCTTCAGGTGCAGCAGTGCCCCTATACAATCTGCATAGATTTACTGGTTGGATGTCCAAACCCAGTGTGCTACTTAAGATGGACCACTGTTCCTGATCAAATAGGGCCCTATCTTTCAGCAGACTACTGCTACAGTCTGGTACATTAAAGAGGATTACACAATTTGATCTGCTAACCGTGGGCTTGGGCTCGGTCCTCGCACGTTTGTGATCACCTTTAAGACCGTTTTGGTTTGACTGGTGCGACTGGGTATTTTTATGTGTCTCAGTGCTATAGCCAGCATTACTGATAGACGGTTGGGGTCTTTTTCCAACGACGGAAACCCGTGGTTCTCCAGCCTCTGTGTCTGGAGCGGTTATGGCAAGAGTTACAAGTTTAACCGGTGAGGATTTTGGTATCCCCGGTTTACGCGCGTTTGTACTAACTTCCGGATTGGTGGGGGTCGAGCTTTTCACCTTTTTCCCCGCTACTTCTGTGCCATCTTTAGTTTTCAAAGGACTACGCGAGGCTACATCAGGACGGCAACTCGGGCATATGTACCAGAACCATTGGCATGGGTTTTTACGCATAAAGTCATAATATGCTTTTGGTACCCCACTGTCGCATCTGCAATGCACCCATCGGTTGCAAAAGTTACATTCGAAAGCAGAGTCTGCTTGTTCGACAACAGAAGCACAGACCTTGCAGTCGTCTGTCTTCTTGGGGAGCGTTCTTGTCGTCTTGCGACGTCGTGAACGTTTCTTTTTGGCCTTCCTATTTGTTTCATGGTCTACCATGGGGATGGGTGTTATGAAGTTCTCACTTAGTGCAATTTTCCCACTCGGATCTGTTAACCTAGTCGTGTTAACAGGGGTGGAGCCACATCCACTTGGCTGACTTTGCACAGCTTCACTGTAGGACTGTGGCGACATGGGTAATCTGTACGAGCTGGGAATATTAGCCCTGGTCTTCAGGACCGGTATGCGTGAGTCCATCACCTTCTCCTGTTTGCCTAGTTTGGCTGAAGCCCTGGTAACTACAGAGTATGATGTCCCATTACTTATTTTAGGTT